TTTTTTTTAAAAAAAAAGGTATCAAGCTCTTAAAAAATCACCCGTTATATGTATATATATATTTGAAGGCCATTTGAAAGAAGGACGCGCATTCATAGATAGTCTTGGGTTCACATGGCTTTTACGCAACTTTTATTGCGCAAATGAAATGTATGCTTTTTCTTTGTTTTATCTAAATATGTATGTATGTATATACCAGCGGCGTTACGAATGTAGTATGTATATGTAATTTTTGGAATGCGAAAGTGCGAATGTGAATTGCGAATATTTAGGAAATAGCATTAAAAAAGCTATAACCTAGCCCGTTCAATTTTAGTATAACAAAGTGCAAGTTTGAAGTTGCTAGAAAATCGGGTTGATTTTTGGGAATTTTTTTACGCAAGCTCTTGCATACAAAGTATGTTGGACAATTAGTCGAAAATGAGCAACACCTTCCACAAAAAAAATTGCCAAAAATCAACGCGATTTTCTAAAAATTGAATGGGCTATATAACTGCATACTTGGAATTTTTCTTAAAAAGCTGATTAGAAGTGTCAGATCTGTTTGTATGCGAGCTTATACACAATAACCAATTCGACAAATTTTTGGGGGGACCGATAATAGGCGAGTCCGCGCGTTCCCCCCTCCTCACCTGCGTCCACCTCAATAAACAAATTAAGCTTATCAGCCCTGTAAACCCACCTCTGACAACTGTCCCGCCCGTAGCTGTCGCGAGTGGGACATGCTTCACTGTTGAATTATTCTTATCTAACTATGTGGAAACGAAAATGCAATTGTGGTAAAAAAAGTATTAAAAACGAATTTAAAGCTTTAATTTGTTATGTTTCGGTTGATTTACGATGTTTACAAATATCTTATGCACACGTTTGTTAGTTTTATATAAAAAATAATAATAATTTTTGCACTAAGGTTCACTTTTCCTCATTGAACCTCCCATATGTAAACTCAAAGGTTACTTCACTACAAGAGCCTTTCCCACATTTTCTCTACAGTCTGATAATATTATTTCGTAATTTTAAATATTTTTAAGTTCCCTATTATACTAGTCATTGGTTCCCGGTGCGCTACTAACCATTTGCAAAACCTCTAACATTCATTATATTTTATCTACTCTTTCCAGATGATGCTCCACGCTTGGGAAAATTACAAACTCTAC